CTCCCACCCCTCCTTCTCCAGCAGCACAAACAAAGGCATCGCAGGATAGGGCAGCTGCCATTTACAGACTAACTGTATTGTGAGGGCAGATGCATCCAGTTGTGTGAAAGAGACAGAAGCAGAAAGAACAAAGGCCTGCAGGAAACGGCAAGATAGGACACAAACACATTCACCAAATCACCTGTATTTATACAAGAAAGCCTTTGCTGTTGTAACCGCTGAGCTCCTAATAAACCAGAAACAATTCGGCCTGTACCCATTTGTAAGTCCCTGCTTTAAAAATGCCATCTCTGCCTAGTTAGAATTATTTCAGACTCAATTTTATAAAATTAATATAATGTGGGAGACAGTATAAAAAAAATTTTTTTTTGCCAGTTTTCCAAATTAAAAATAGTTGAAATGACTTGTATCTTTTATTTTGGAAAACCAGCGACAAAAAGATATTCCCAGCCCGCGACCGGAGATGCCAAGTTTCTGTCAACTGCTTGGTTACAAATGGAGAGTTAGAATTAAATTTTGTATCTTGAAGAGTATAGCTCTGAGGAAGAGAAATGATGCAAAGACTATTGCAAGCAACTGTTAATCAGGCCTCTAAGGATGACACTCCCAGCTCTTTGATGTTCTAGAGGAGTCTCGAGACTTTCTGTTTCCAACTGGAGAACACTAAAATGCTTCTTTTCACTCCCCTGTCATGAGGCCCCACAAGGAAAAACAAGGGGCTCAACAGACATGACTCACCCAGGCCTCTCATTCATGTCAACATTGACCTGTGGTGAGTGCCCCAGACCCTTCTTGCACCACCAGGCCCCTTTGAGTGGTCTGCGATAGAAAGTAAGGGGAGAGAGCTTTACTTGAAACAAACAACACTACCACCACCAACAGCAACAAAAAACACTAAAAACCCCACAAAATGAAGGTGTACTGAAAAAACTTTCTCAGGTACCAAGTTCACATTCCATGTCAACAGGGCCTCAGTCCTGGCTGCACATTGGAGTCATTTGAGGATTTTATTTTTTATTTTTTAAAAGTTTATTTACTTATTTTGAGAGAGAAAGAGAGCACAAGTAGGGGAGGGGCAGAGAGAGAAGGAGAGAGAGAATCCTAAGCAGGCTCTGCACTGTCAGCGCAGAGCCCAACTCGGGGATCAAAGTCACGACCCGTGAGATTCTGACCTGAGCCAAAGTCAGACGCTTAACCGGCTGAGCCACTGTCTCATCTGAAGATCCTAAAGACAACACCAATGACTAGGCCCTTTCGTAGACCAATTAAACCATAACTTCTGGGAGTGGGGCTGGGCCCTGGCATTTTTGAGAAACTCCCCCAGGTACATACAATGTGCAGCTAGTTTAGAACTGCTGCTAGTTAGGGAAAAGAGGTCCCAGGAGCAGCAGGAACTGAGGCACTCCATGGTTGGGTGAGCACCTCTCCCAGCACATCCCAGTCACGTGACCACTAGCCCACTTGCTCTGACAGTCCAAGACCTGCAGATGCCTCTGGCTCCCAAGAAAGATCTATGCAAATATGTAGGGCTGTAGCCCTCAGCCTACCTCTGAGGCTGAAACCCTGAGCGAAGTTTACAAAATGATTTTTTCCATCAGCCCAGAAAGCAGCGGGGGCTTCCCTATCCTCTTCTCTGAATCAATTCCAGTGCTGAGCCTGGAAGGCTCGGTTCTAGGGAGCCACATTAATCTTGAAGGACTATGGAATGTTAAATGTGGGCTCAGGCAGAGGAATTGTTGATAGATCGGAGAAGGGGTTTGATTTCACAATCACATATACTGGGAAACCTCAAAACGGAGGTGGGGTGGGAGAAGGATTTAGAGTCTGTTTAAAACAGCATTCTACCAGCGATTTTTAATCCCTCTGGGTTCCATGAAGTCATCTTTATGCTTAGTTTTAGTTGAAGGAGCAAGAAAGACTTCCCTTAATAACCAAGCAAGAAAGAATCAAGTGTTTTCCATCTCTCTTTGGGAAACAAGTAGGTATGTACACGCTTGAATTTGTCACTGTGCTCCAGTTCTGCTGTGATGTGGCTGGCACAGAGACTCGTGGACTCGGTGCCCACAAACAGCTGCACCCTACAGTCCCAGCAGGTGCACGCACAGAGCCCAGCTCAAAATTCGTCGCAAGAACAATGACGCCGTTATGACACCAAGGGACAAGGCCTCATACTGACCACCACTGCACGACATCTGACGATGGCGAGAGCTAGAAACTCAGCCACAGCTCCCTGGGATCTGGCCTTTTGGTCCCAGGATCATATTCACAGACGCAGCCAGGTAGAGCACCACAGTGACAGCAGCTATCAATTATACGGCCCAACCAACCAGAGAGTTAGTGGAATTAAAGAAAAAAACAAATCCCTCCAGAAAATGTATTCCTTTGCTTTTAACGTATCTTCTCCTCCTGCGGGCTGCACTGCCACAGTCACCAAGTTTACATTTACATCCAAATATGCACACACACAAAAAATTACCGATGCATCTCACTCCCCGGTGACTTTGTAACAGGTTGCTAGGTAACAGTGCATACAAGTCAGGTTTCAGGACCTCTAGTAAGCCACCATAAAATAACTGCATGGGCCTTTTGCATAAATAGTGTGCATTTGTTATCTGTTTCCTTATGCCAATTGATCAGTCAGTAAATACTCTGACTGCCAAACTGTAAACAAGTACCATCAATAACTAACTGAGAAAACAGATCACAGTGTAAGGCTTTGGTGCAGGGAGGGTCTTTCACCCCCAACCCACTGACTGGCTTCTCTGGAGTCTTTCTTGTTTGCAGTGCTGGCTCTCAGCAGGCTGTATCTTATGCTCCCTGAGACTGGGTCTGGAGCTAATTACAGCCTGAGCCCAGCGGGAGTAGTGGATTATACACCAGCGTTTTATCCAAAGACCAGTCCTTCCTTCACCGCCTCTCCCCCTCCTCCAGATTTAAAAACTTCCTGCAGTCCTGGAGTAAAGGCAGTAACCCTGGTACTAAGAGCTACTCACCCCTACCTAGTGTCCCCCTGGCTGTTGAGTAAGGAAATGTCCCATGTTGAAACCCTGCTAAGTGAAAATGCCATTTGCATTCCTTCCCTTAGGAGTGCACTGGAGGAGCCCAGAAAAGGAGCCCCTTTTGCTATAATATTGGTGGGAGAGACCATCAAAGAAGAACCGGTGACCTCCCCACCACCACCAGAGGCAAAGCCTGAAGGATCAACAGCAAAAGGAAAACTATAAGCATGCATTCCCCCACATTTTCAAAATGTTTAAATATAAAACTCAAAGACTCTGCAAGCACATTTTCCCCTAGATTGGGGCAGAAGAGGGAGAAGGCAGGCAGAGGGGTAGAGAGGAAGAGAGAGTCCCCTGTTCTTCATGGACTCTTCAAGGCCATGGACAGATGCACTTGGCTCCGGGTGGCCTGACAATTTCCAGCCGAGGACTCCCCACCCTTGGCTGCCGGTAGGCGGGCTGGCGTGCCTCACTGTTGGTCATTCCTGGTCATTTCTGATGCCTCATTTCCGTCCCCTGCTTTTCCCCATGACTACCAACTAGTATTGCACGCTCCTGAGGAGCAAAGATCTGGGGTGCTGGGGACATTCCGAGAGCCCTGACTGAAGTGTCACTGAGCAAAGGGACTTCTGAGCGGGCAAAACTGAACCTCTATTTCACCTGGCAATGACATTTAGTGAAATGCGACTCACAGTCCATTTAAAGGAAGGCGGTGACCAATTATTCTCCATTTAAAAGGGTATTGTCAATCTCCAAAGAGCTGAAATGGCATTTGGAAATCATCGTGGGGACTGCCATCTTCACTGAAAGACAGAACCAACTCTCAGCCGACCTTTCCCCACCCTGCACATCTCTTTTACAATTTAAAATCATACTTTTAAAAATGTAACCAGTAGAAGCACAATCCCACATCGTGTTTTATCATTTCCAAACAGTCAGGAAAAATAGTGCTCCCTCAATATCGCCACACCCCCTATTCAACTCCACAACTTAACCAAAGAAATTAGGGGGAAAAAGGACAAAAACAAAAAAAAACGTCATGTATAAGCTGACAATGAATGTGATGTCAATTAATAATAAATATTGATAACCTACTTCATCTTCTTTCCAAAAGGCAATGGGGCAGGTGAGAAAGAATATTCTTTTTAAAGTTTTCTTTTTTTAATTTCACTTTACATGAGGCACCTAAAGCAGTTAAATTCATTCAGAATTACTTCTGAAAAATAAATTATTCAGAAAGTGGAATAGCCGTTTCCAGGGGCTGTGGGGAGGGTGCAATGGGGAACTATTGTTTAATGGGTACAAGGTTTCCGTGTGGGATGATGAAATGTTCTGGAGATGGACGGTGGTGATGGTTACACAACAGGAATGTACTTGATGCCAAAAAACTATACACTTAACAATGGTTAAAATGGTAAATTTCATGTAAGGCGTATTTTATTACAACAAACATTTTTCCAGTGGAGAAAATTACGTAAAGGTAATCTTTATCATTTGCTCAAATTTTAAAACTGTAACTCCCGACAGTAGTCTGTGTGTATATCCAGAGGCTTTATATGTCCTTTAAAACTCTTTCAAATTAAGGCAATAAAGAAACTGAATAGTGCAAACTGAGATGTTCCATACAAGCACTTTAAAAGAACCCAACGCAGAAACAAGTTAAATATGGCCCAAGGTCACACAAAGAACTGTCACCAATTTGGCTCACCATGTGTCCTGCCCCCCATAACAAGAACCCATAAAGGGGAAAAAACCAGAAGGAAATCAACAAGACCTGTTGTTTCTAGACCCAAACCACAGAGATGCCTACTTCCAAAGGACTGGGAAAAAAAAAAAAAAAAAGTCAAGGAGAAAATTCATGAAGGTGCAAACAAGCAGAATTCAAAGGGCTCTTGAAATCACCTAGTACTACCAGCTTATTTTTACAGATGAGAATCCTGGTAGAGAAAGAGAGAGAGAGAGAAAGAGAGAGAGAGAGAGAATACAACCCTATTCAAGTACCTGACAGCTTCATGAGAAAATCAGACGCCATCTTAACAGAGATGTCCTGGCTGAACAATGCTGACGCACTGTTGGCCACATACTCGGAGGGGTCTTTCAGCTTTGTGTGGTTGGCCGGCCTGTCGGCAGCATTCAGAGTAAAGGAGGTTGGCAGGCCGTTATCTTCCTTGGGTTCCTCCTTCACCAGCAAAGGCGAGACGCCAGCCCCACCCTGGCTAGTCCTCTCTGGAGTGTTGGACGTCATCATGGTCCCCACTAGCTCTGTCCCTCCTCCTTCCCTTTGCTGCCCCAGGCAGGCACTGTCACTGAGGTGGGGAGATCCCTTGACATCTGGGTCTGGGATCTCCTCCTTCACCTTGGCTTCTGTCCTCAGGAAATGCTGATGGCAACGCATGTGGAGTTTCAGGCTGAAGTGGCGTGAGGAGGTAAAAGGGCATAGCTGGCACTGAAAGGTCTCTCCCCGGTCCTGGTGCTGATGAACCTGACGGAGAAGCAAGAAGAATGAGCTGTCCACCATGTGCTTACGGAAAATGCCTCGTCGTACATCCGGACTATTCGTCCACAATTTCCTCACAGTACCAGGGCTGGCCCAGGAAATAAAATCATCAGAGGAGAGGTTTGTTACTGTGCCCCAAGTAATGAGGTCCGTCCCTAAACATAAAGCAGGTCCACGTAGGTTAAGAGTCCATTATTAGAGCCACACTCACAACTGAGGATGCTGTCTGCCAATGGAGGCTGTGTTTAGTAGAATCCTCCAAAGAGTTTAGTCATCTCATCTCGGTTGGTCTTTGGAGAAAATATAAACCCTGCAGAATTCGAACTTACATAATTACCAGCTGGGGGTCAAAAGAGGCAACCTGTCAAGCAATTCCTCTCACAATAATAAGTTGTGTGTACCCAATCATTGTCACTCAGAGAATTAGTTATGTTTTGCAAACACAATTTCAATTTTCAAAATGCTTCTCTGGGTAATTAAGAATGTGGAAAACGACGTCTCCGGGGTATTCCCGTTTCATAGACAGGGAGACTGAGACCCCACAGTAAGTGGCCTAAGCAAAATTACATATGAAGAAAGCACAGCAGAGTGGGAGAAAAACCAAGGTCTGATCTCCCCCAGGTATTCTCAGCAAGGTGAAACCAGGGTCTCCAAACGTGGTTCTATCAGGCTCCAGATTCTGATGTGGGCAATGGAAGAATGCAGACTTTTAAATCCAGTTCCAGTCTCGCACGCACAATACCTGTGGAAATTGTACGAAACTTTTCTCTTCCTGTCCCTACCAAAATGTAGTGCTTGAGAAAGTGAGGAAATCATTGCACTGGCCTGAGCCAGGCTTCGAGCTGGCAGGTGCTCATAAGCGTGTAACTTCCCCATTCAGCTCTGCCAGTGTACTTCAGGGCTGACCTGCTACACCCTGCTATTTCAGGACTGCCCCTCCCTTGTGTAGAAACTGCCAATTGTGTAGATTTGGGCCAAATGATTTGGGGGAGTTGTGGGATCTGGACAAACAAGTGATCGGGATTTCAAAACCAAAACAGAACTGACTCCTCATCTTCCAGTGGTGACCTAAACGGGATTTGAACCCAGGTCTAACAAAGGTTAAAGGCTAGTTTGTTAATTCACTGCACTACCTGGACCCTCTGCATAGGCTTCCTTTCCAAAAGAGCAAGTTTTACTACAGCTGTTTATGCATTCTGAATGCAATCCAAAAGCATTATTCACCAGCCAAAACATACTTTTAAATAATGTTAAGTGACCAACAAAAGCAAAGAAATTAAAAGTTAATGGTGAGATCCTGTCGCTACAGCACCCCACTGTGGCTTTTTGAAAAAAACGGTCGAAGAGGTTCTGGGTCCCCCAAAGCATAAATTTCTCAGAAATAACCATATAAACTTAAATTCAGTTGCAGCAAGGCCTTGCTTGTTAAAATGCTTCCGCTCTGCCAGGTTGGGAGGGGCTGGGGGTAGGTACCCGTTTGTCACTGGTCGTTAACATCACCTCTCTCTGTTCTGTCACAACAAAGAGATCTCACTCTGGAGCTGATCATTTCATTTGCTTTCTCACAGAATCGTCCACCTAATTCACACAGGACCAGGCACCCTGGGGGGGGGGGGGGGTTCGGGCACAGCCCCACAGGACCCTGGCAGATGCTGCCAAAGGCGTGCCCAGGAACCAGGTGGTAAAGGTCACGGGGCTGAATGCTTTCCTGGGAGCAGAGCGGTGGGGCAGATTCCATTTCAGAAGTGTCCTTACATCTATTGACCCAGGAGAGTAGAGGAGCTAATCCAAGAACAGGAGCTCTGGAAGCAGCTTCTGGAAGAAGGAAAAGGACAGAGAGAGAGCCCAAGTCCTCAAGGCGAAAGGGAGCCCTGGACTGAAAAGAGTCTGTGCTCAAGTATTTTACGTGGCTTCTCTTCCACCAGATCCTGGCCTTGCTATATTTAGTTGTGGAAAAATCAGTGTCGGTTTAAAGGAAAAACAGTGGCCGAGGTGTTGACTTTCGCACTTATCGTTTTATTTGAGCTACACCTTCCCAAAGGGGCTGTATGTCACATTTGGCCTTCGAGAGAAGTATTCTCTCTACCTTCCAGCTGTGGTTTCTTCCCTTCTGTCCTGACAGAAAAGCACTTTCTGTTATAACTGTAATCTCTTTAGCCTAACACTGGCTTTAAAATCCCTCCAAGTCTGCTAACGTGAAGAAATGCTTGTCTAAAGCATATCATTCTTTCCAGGCCACGTAAGAGACGTCCTTACTGACTGGTCATTTTGCACGGGGCACCTAAGGACTGGGAATAGAAGGCACTGTTACATCATTAGGTCCATCTCCTGGTGGCGGTCGGATGGACATAAGGAAAACTTTGGCAAACATCTGCTCCACCCCCTTAGGGGACCAGGCCAGACAGGGAAGGGGCATCCTTGGGAATCACAGCTCCTTAAATGGCAGGCCTGAGACCGGCAGAGCTCAGCGCTCTGACCCTTGTCCAGTCTCTTACCATTACTTCATCAGTGTTCTTTATTTTAGCAGTCCTCACCTTTTCTGTTCAATCTTAGCTTACGAATTTCACATTTAATTCCCCTATGCTCACTCATCCAGGAAAGTTGTAAAAGACTTAATGGAAATCTAAGATAACCCTGAGGAAGCTGGAGGCATTTACAAGCTCCTTCCTCAGCTGCCCATAAAAACATTTGCGAGATCTACGAAGGAGGAAAGGCAGGTTTTCAAAAAAATGTACAGTGCCCAGCACCCGGTAGGAACACGGTAAATACAGTCCTTATTGAACAAATAAAGGAGAATCCCAATTTGTCTTAAATAAATCTATGTCATCATTATAGAAGGATGTATGTTAGAACAACAATAGTGGTGATTTCTGTGTGATGGGAGTGAGGGTCAATTTTATATTCTTGTTGTTTACCAGTTTTTTTTCTAAATTCTCAGCATTAAAGATATATCACCAAAAAAAAAGGCAATAAAATTTAGAGTAAATTCTTTATACCACATCATTAACCTATTTCCAAATGTAAACACTAAATCAGACAACTTTTGGATAATAATGACCAGGTTGGCTACATTTACTGAGTATTCTCCATGCCGGGCATTGTATTAAGTTGCTTTATGCCCATTATCTCATTTAACCCTTATAACGACTCCAGGAGATAGACTGGATGATTATCTCCATGAATGGAAACAAAGGCTGGGAGAGGTTAAATGATTCACCCAAAGTCTCACAGCTACTAAAGTCGTGGAACTGAGATTCTAACTAAGGTCTTTCTGACCGCACACAGCTTGAGATCTTAATCTACAGGTGACACTGCCCCACTTCACAGGCCGAACTCGTTTTAGAAAATCTATTCATATTTGTAGTCTCTGGTGAATGCAGCAGAAGCAGAAGCTATCCATTCACAAGACCACCGCCATCATATTCCTGTGTGGACTATACTTACAAAATCTCTCTAAAGTATGTTGAATCCAAACAAAACCATGAATTCTTTAATTAAAGAAAGAAAATGGCCCATATGCGAGGTGGAGAACAGAGAAAAGAAACAGTACACCATTTGATAAAATTAAACTTGCATGAGCCCTTCTCACACATCCCTTATCAAAAGCTGGAGTCGTAGCTCAACAGGTTAGGACACCATGAGTTTGAATAAAGTAGTAATTTCACACAACTGCTTTATTGTACTGGTTATTGATTTGTTCTGAAAGCATTCTGAGACCCCGCGACCCGCAAAGCCCTCGCGGCTCTCATCTGTAACACTGTCATGGCCGACCGTCTGTATCATCAAGGCACCCAACTCATCTCCCTGTAGCTTCAGGGTCAGTAGTTCCTGCTATTGAAAACCCAGCTTTTTTTTTTTTTTCCCCATGGGTTTATAAATAGGTTGTTTTATGTGACCCTGAGCTGAAACCAAGCTTACAAGGTGTCAGGCTAGATGCAAGTTTTCTGCTCACTGAAGCTTTAAATTTGTCAGACCTGATTTCTAAACACAGCGTAGGACATAGTAAGGAAAACAAATTTTAGTTTTAAAGGCATTTCTTTTGAAGTCTCGGCCTGCTAATGAAACCCACTTTGCAGGTGTAAAATACGAGATTTTATTTTGGGAAGAGGTGATAGAGGATGAGGAGGGTGAAAGGAAAAACTAAGTAGGCTCAGTTAAATCCAACCAACCAGAACTCCTGGTTAAATGGATTCTGAAGATGAAGGGCATGCTACTCTCAGGAGAAAAAGGCAAATGATAGAAAACAAATTACATCATGGATTTAATTTTTTTTTTAATCTTTAGCTATTTCCTAAAATTAGTAGACGTTCTGTCCGATCACATTTTTTTTAGAGCTACAATTATAAACGGTGATCACTGATCTATTCAGATGGATTAGACTACATGGCTTTGAAAAAAAGCAAATATCTTAATTACGTACATGCACAATGCTTCTTATGGCAGGAAAGTAAAAACTTCACAAACAATGTCAACAGCAAAACCATATTGAAAATATCAGTGGAAAAATGAAGGTGTTTACTGAAATTAAAGAACCACTATTGAACATTTCTGTGTCAGATACTTTGCTAATATTATCTCCTTAAATACTAACAAGAACTCTTCCAGATAAACAATATCATTCTCATTGAACAGATGAGAAAATTGAGAGCCTGACATTCATTTGCTCCAGGCCTTTAGCTAGTAAGTTTCACAATAGGATTTAAATTCGGGTCTATCAAATTCAAAAGCCCATGCTCTTTTGATCTTGTGATTTTCTTCCTTGAATTTCAGGGGAAACATTTATTAGTAATGGGGTCTGCCAGAAAGCTATCTAGATGACTAAGTTTTCTCCATCTCATGTACGAGTGAAATACAGAGTCTAGACAAATCTCTTATATGCTTATTACCAGTGCAAACTCCCCAGCCGTTTTTAAAAAGACATTGAAAACAATGTCCTTAGATGTTTGGTAAGTGTGATCCTGGGAATTAGGACAGCACAAACACTGAGAGCTTCAGGAGGACTCAGTCCTGTCAGATACGCGCCCCCACTTCCGCCCCCACCCCAAGCCTCACAGAGGGCAAAAGTTAAAGCCCAGGCTTCTCTGAAGGTTCTCACACCTCCTATAAGGCGTCTCTGGGTGTTCCTGTGAGTTTGTAAGCTGGAGAGCAAAGCAAAAGCAGAAGAGGGCAGTTGCCTCTGGGGCGCAGGTCCAGCAGCCCATCGTCCCATACTGGTCTTCCCTGCCCTTTGCTCTTCCCTAAGTCTTCCTCCTGGCGCCCCAGACATGTATTGCCACGCAAGGCCATGGTAGGCTGCTTCTCCCCAATAGGAAAGGACGGCTCTACATCATGTCTATTATTTGGATACTGGAGCTTCTGTTTGGTTTTAAGTTCTTGGTTGTAAAACGAACGGGCAGACTGTCACAAGGAGACCCTTTCGAGCGTGCTTCATTTGCGCCACCAGACGCAAGCACGAGGAGCACTGAATGCCACAGGCTCCACCAGCGGCCCCTCTCCCAGGAGCCTCCTGCACTGGACCGTGTGCAAGAGCTCTGGCTGTGCCTCCCTGTCCGTGAGGCTCATCCGCAGCTGCCTTACCTTCATGTGGGATTTGAGATTGTCCTTGCGAGCACACCGGAATGGACAGAGCGGACACTGGTGACTTTTTAAACCTGTGTGGATCACCATGTGCCGCTTCCAGTAACTCTTCCTTTTTATAACCAAACCACATATCGGACACTGGAAAGGCTTCCCGCTTTCCTCTTCTGAGGCTTGGAAGAGGGAGAAAGAAAGAAAAAATTGAGGAAAATTCAAAGGTACATTGCATCCAGCACTAATTCACATGCACTGCTATATAAAAAACACTAATAATGATCCGGTATTTTTCCTGGGCAATTCCAAGGCTTTCTCCATGAAGAAGTTTTATTACTGCTTTTCTCCCAGTAGAAACCCACATCCATCTCATTAATTCCATGTGGCTTCCATTTTTCAAAATTTGATCATGCTGCCGTGGGAAAGTCTTACTTTCAAAGGCCATCTCACACTTAGGAAGGCATCTGCAAAGGGGCTCTGCCTGGCCTGTCCTCGTTCAGCCCAGAGAAGCTTGACTTCGGGGGCTTTGTTTCCCAAAGGAAACCTCCAGATTTGAGGCCATATCTGAATTCCTAAACTTAGAAAACAGCAAGAAATAAAGACAGGGAAAGACGCACTGCACCACACTGAAAACCAAAGAGCCATCATAAGCCTCACACACCAAACTCCTATGGCGACAAATATTAGGATCCTACCGCTGACGTGGCTAGTTAGTCATGTCTGGAGCAAATGCTACTGCCAATTTAGCCATCAGGGGGTCTTAAGGTCAGGGCTTTTCCCCCACCCATTTCTGTCCCTCTGGTTGCCACTAACAAGATGCACTGCCTTCTCTGAACTGGGCCCCACAACCCACTTTGGGAAGAGCTACAACGAGGCAGTCACAAATGCTTCCATTTTTCAGGAACGCAAACAAACCAACTACTTCCTCCAAGGAAAGCTAAGCTAACTCTCTCCTCCATCCCCTCGGGAAAGGGTCTCTTTGTGACACTGTGCGGCTACACTGCTCAGTGTCACGCTCACGTCTGCAATTTGGAGACAGAATAAACACAAACAAGTAGAGCTGAAGACTCAGACTTTCCTTTCTTAATCATGAGGGATCAGAAATATTTCCGGGGCGCCTGGATGGCTCAGTCAGTTAAGCGTCCGACTTTGGTTCAGGTCATGATCTCTCAGTCTGTGAGTTCCAGCCCCACGTCGAGCTCTCTGCTGACAGCTCAGAGCCTGGAGCCTGCTTCGGATTCTGTGTCTCCCAATCCCCTCTCTCTCTCTCTGTTTGCCCCTCCCCTGCACTCTCACACTTTCTCTCTCTCGCAAAAATAAGTAAACATTAAAAATTTAAAAAATGTTTTTCCAAATGGATTAAATAAGACTAATACACTCATAAAGCAATACGCTCATATATGGAGCCATTTTAAAAAATGAGCTAGATCCATAGATGCTGATACAGAAATATGTCCAAGATATTAGAGTTGGTAGATATGCAAGCAAGATATGCAAGCAAGATATGAAACTGTATGTCGAGGCTGATTCCACTTTTGTTTTACAATACCTGGGAATTAATTGCTAATACAGCAAGGTAAAAGGTTGAAAGGAAACGTTATAGAGAATGAGTCTAGCTGACAGCACTTAAAGCCATTCATTAAGCTTCACCGCTAAAAAGGGGACACTATGTGCCTTCTGATAAGCCATCTATCAATTATACCTATAAAAAGTTTAATCGAGCCTCTATATAACTACAAGTTTATCAGAAATATAGGTGATTAAAATAACAAAAACACGTTAAACACACACACACCCAGGGGACAGAATGAGCCAAAGCCAGAATGTGAGAAATTCTATAGGACAAATGCGTCTCTTCAAGCGAACAGCGCTTGGAAAAGGGACACGGTTATGGAGGCATATTAAACAAATATGAAGTGTGAGGGTGATTTCAATCCTGACTTGAACAAAACAATTATAAAAAGACACTTTTGAGATAACTGAGGGAATACTGATTATAGCCCAGGCATTCCATAAAATCATGAAACAATCATTGATCCCGTTAGATGTGATAATAGTTACGGTGGCTATTATTTTTCCAAAGTTCCTCTCTGTTGGAGATAATGTATATGGTAATATTTACAAGCAAATGGATATGAGGTCTGGGATTTGCTTTTAAATGCCTGAGCAAAATAAAGAGAGGGGGTAGGAAGAACGGGACGCACAAATGACAGAAAACGATATCCTTTTGTTAGTATGAAAATTGTCCGGAAGCATACCCAAGAAACCATTAAGCAGTCACCTGTGAAGAACTGTGGATTAAAAGGAAGGGGTCGGGGAGGGAAACTTTTGTTTTTATTTTATATTCTTCCATACACGTTGAATTTTCTAATGCACACGTTACTTTTATAATTTTAAGAGGCTATATTCTCATGTGTAAACTTTAAAATCATCTTATTATTTATTCATTGAGTCAATTGACTATATGCAAAGGACCGCTTATAATGGATGGAACCAGAAAGGTTCTGGAATACAGTGAGGATATTCCAAACACACTGTTTTACTGTTGCCGGTATAATAAGTAATACTGGTTACCCTAACCAAACAACCTGAAAAAAGAAACTCCTATTGAAAAATATACCTTCCGGTCTAGAAATCCTACTGGTGATGTTTCTGTCACGACTATTCTCTTTTCTGATTGGAGGATGGAGTGGGATTGAGGGTTCCCTTTCGTCCTAGGACAAGCACACTTTGTAGAGGCCTATAAACACACTTTCTTATTAATCTGACTGTAGCTTTCCTGCTGTTTTTTGTTGATTGCCTCTGCTGACCTGGAGTCCCATCCCTAATCTGGCCTCTCATTTTCTATTCTCCATTGTCATTTCTTCCATTCAGGTATCTTGATCATGAAGACTGCACATTGAACAATAGATTTGAAAGGAAGGACTGAATCAGGCCTCTAGGTGAGATTACTGTCATCAACCAGAGGGGGAAAAATGATAACGATGTCTATTTGGGGTTGTAAGAATATCGAAGTAACAAGAAAGAAACACACAAATAGGCTGCCGCTAATCCCTATTTTCCAGAAGTATTTCCCAGTGTCTCAACCCTAAACTGCCTAATGTTACAGAATTGCCTGGGAGAGGAGAGAAAAACGGAGATGTCCTCTACTGACCTGAGGTTTCTTGGCATATCACACGAAGGCAATAAAAAGGCATTAACTGACCAAAGGAACATCACCAGCGTCCCCTGGACACCTTGTTTTGCTTAATGTGACCAATATCTTTCTTATTTTTTCTTACGCCCCCCCCACCCCAGGTCCCCTAGTGTGTATTATAGAGCACACTACATGAAACCTTGATATTAGCATTTCCTATAAATCTATTTTATTTTGGAGCTATGCTTCCTTAGTTTTAATTAATACCAAAAGACACACGAATTGTGTACAAATTAGGGTGTCCTTGGATTGACTGGGAAAAAAATTAGAATACTCATAATGAAGAGAAACTAATGGCAAGATATGTGGTCAAATAGCTACATTATTATAACTTTGAAATTTTTAACTGATCATGGCAGGAAAGGAAGAAGACAGAAGCCAAATGATAAAAGTAACCATAACACAATGATCTATTTTCCAAACTGGCCATTAATCTCCCCTGGTAACATCTGCATTTTTGTTTATTAGAAATTTTTTGATATTTTAATAGGATGCCCTCCATGTGTAAACAATGTTGTTAACTACTTTGGAGAAGGGAGGAAACAAGGATATATTCCAGTTTGTATGCCAAACTATTTTCAAGGCTATAAATTTCACTCGAATTTAGAGCCTAAGGAAATATGACCACTTCCTTAGACTGAACCACATATTCTTAACGCAATAGGCTTGAAACATTCATTATTTTACATAGTTTACAACCGTCTGGGAAACAATTCCCCCCAAACATATCACTAGCTAGTTAGTATCACCACAAGCAAAACTAGATCCCACCAAATGCTAATAAACCCAGTGGCATGGATAGCTGCTGATTTGCTTCTTTGGAGAAAACACATTCTCTTTACAGACATTAGTATTAACTGGAAGAAGAGAGATAATAAATGTGTGCAGTTCTCCCGTCACACAGTAAACGGAAGCTACTGGTAGTAGCTGTTGCAATAATAGCAGTGACCATAAGTTCTAGTCGTACCCTCTAAAGCAGGACACTCACCAGGAGAGCAGATGTAAATTTAAACAACTGACATCACATAAATACATAGCCCGGGGCCTGGCCCAGAATGGCACTTTGTCACAGGAGCCAGGAGAAAACAAAGGAACGGGAGTCCACTGTGCTACACAGGTAGGGTCCAGCTCAGCCCAGGCAGAACTCTGATGGCCAAATTCAGCTTGGCAGGGAAAAGAGAGAGGTGGAAAATACAGAAGGGGAGGAAGGGGAGGAGGGGGAATTGGCTGGGGTGAGGCTAGAGGTCTTTCCCTGTGTGTCTCCAGCACCCAGCAGTGCTAGGTACTATGTGCAATTCAATAAATGTGTGTTGGATTGTAATGAGAGTAATTGGAAAGGGCTGGGTCAAGAGAGTATCAAAAAGTGAAATGAGTGCTAGAAATGGAAGAAAAAGGTACAGGAAGCTGCCAGCAAGTCCCAAAGGCAGCAGTGTCAGCCCAAGAGTACATGCTTTTCACATAGCACACCAATACATGTGTCAGATGAATGGGTGTGGAGAGATGTGCACGTACTTACATCTTACCTATTTCCAAAATGAATTTGGAGGAGCTGATATTCAAAACGCATACAGTATGACTACACCATTAATAAGATACAATGGTAAGCGTTTAAACTATTTACAATGGACAAGATCTACAGAGGCAATCTTGTGGGAGGTTTGATGGTGAATTTTAAGAAGCAACATATTTACTTCAAAAAAATTATATTTGTTTTGAGTTGATAGGGTTAAAGAATAAAAAAGGAAAAGCAAGGCATTTTAACACAGGAAGGAATCTTGGAGAGAATTCCCAACTAGCTCAGTTTATATAGATGAGGAAGCTGAACAGAGGTGTGTGCTTATAATCCCTGTGCTAGTTAGTGGCAGTGTTGAGATCAGAGCCAATATCTTCACTTCCAGTTTGGCGACCTACCAAGTTGTCTACACATAAATCCACAAAGCAACAACACTT